TTGGATCTTCTTCTTCAAGTCTTGATGCCTTGAACTTCCGGCATGGACTAGCTTCTTATGTATTTTTAGCTTTTAGAATACTCTTAGTTTAGTCATTTGATCGTAGATGTTCTTGTGGTGATGACTTCCAGATTTTGGGGATAATAATAGTTATTGATTTTATTTATGTGTTTAAGTCTTCCGCATTACTTTCTGTTTATATTATATTGGATGTTAAGGTTTAGATTGGTTGGTTCGCTCACATAGGAGGGTAAGTGTGGGTGCCAGTCGCGGCCCGGATTTGGGTTGTGACACAGAGTTTAAGGATTTTTTTAAAAAAAATTTACATTCTAAAATAAATCAAAAATCTTTGTTTGGGTAAAAATTTTCGTATGATATTTAATGTCATGATCTTAAATATTCTATGTGAGATGATGAAGTTAACAAGTTTTTAAATTAAAAAAAAGTAGAATCTTCTTTTAAATAAACAAAAAAAAGACAAGATAAACAAATCGAAACACGAGAAGTACTTTCCATATAAATTAGATTTCAGAAGGACAAACAAGTTATTCCATCCGTCTAGATCTATATACCACCATAAGAATTTCGAGATTCAATCTTCTCAAATTTAACTATAAATTTAAACAACAGAAAGTTAACTTTTTAAAAATAAAATTTATATATTTAAAACTATGTAAAATACTATAGTATAAATCATAACACTTAAATTATTTAAAAGACATAAAAAAATTACTAACTTAATAAATATTTTTTAATGGACTCTCGAAATTCCAACGACATGGCTAATAATTATAATGAAGGAGTAACTAAAAGATTTTTTTTTTCAAAATGTCAATATTTTGACATTTAATAGGACTCATTGTCAATACTTTCAATATTTAATAAAAATGTCAAAAAAGGAACAATTGTTAAAACAGAAAGGAGAAATTATGGAGAGGAGAAAATACTAAAAAGAAACAATTGCTTAAAAATCTTATGTTACAAAAATTCAAAAACAAAGAATTGATTAATTGACAATTTATCAAAATGCAACAACTTCCACCTCTTTCTTCTTCTTTCACCATGTTTTAAAAAGCACGCCTATTAACATTGCTCAAAAAATTCAATATTCAATTTTCTTAATTTTTTTATTTTTAAACACGTTTATTTATCATACATTATCATATTTGAAGCAGTTTATTCTACTAAGACATCATTTTGACGTTATGAAATTATAATTTATCTTTAAAAATGTTTGAAATTTTAGAAGTTATTTGACTATTATGTTAATGTCATGAAGTTTATGTATACTCTTTTAATAGATTTTTCAGTATAAAAAATACAATTCTCACGTATTCATGATATAGGAATTAATCCATCTTAGAGCCTGTTTGGCTCAGCTTAAAAGCTGGTCAAACTGACAAAAACTGGTTTTTGACTTATTCAGTTGTTTGGCATTACTCAAAATAACTTATTTAAAGTTAAAAAAAATTATTTTAAGCCAAAATTTAAAAGCTGAGGTAGGAATATTTTTTTTTAGCTTATAAGCTATTTTAGGTTGACCACATTTTTATCTTTTTGCCTTTAATATTTTTCTACAATCTCCAAATTACCCACATAACCCTAGCATCTCTTTCTTCCATTTTTCTCTTTTCACGTTTGGCATAACAACTTCAACACTTTTATCCAAACGCATAACTGTTTATTTTAAAATAAGTTTCAGCACTTTCAAAAATACTTTTTTTAAAGCGGTTTTTGCTAAGCCCATCCAAACAGGCCCTTACATATGTATTTTATTTTGCTTACTTCCAATATCACTTTGTATACCAAATAGTTTGTATTTAGATTTGATACCACAAAAGTTTGTATTTAGATTTGATTTCGTATTCGTCCTAATGTATACCATAAAGTTTTGTATTTATGTTTTGATTTCGTATTCATTCTCAACTATAAATAGTCAAAATACAGTTTATTTATGTATTCATCATATATGTATTCATCCTAATTGCATCAGTCAAATAGTTTTATATTTTATTTTGCTCATTATATGTTTATACCAACTAATTTATCTTTGATTTTGTATTCATTCACAATTTTAAATAATCAAAATACATATTTTGTATTTACATTATCACTTTATAAAACAAATTTGAGTACAAACTACAGAACATTCAAAATACTTTTCGAAATAACTCAATATCTAAATGCTAATGTAGATTCTACTAAATTTGAAAAAAAAAATTAAAAAAATCGATAAAAATTATGTTAAATACTAAAAATTTGAAAAACATAAATATTTGATGAGTATGTTAACAAATTCACATAAAATTTTAAAAAAATGATGGATAATCCTCAATACATACAATCCAAAAATTCAACATAATGTGTGATTTTGAAAAAAAAATCTCGCAACATAAATGATGAATTCAAAAATACTTTTATCAATTGAGAGATTTCTTGATTAATTGATAGATCTAAATTAATTGTTATAAATATGAATGATTAATTTTTTCTCAACAATGAAATATTGATGAAAGAAAAAAAAGGAGAAAAGTGAATGATGGAGATGGAAAAAACTGAAAAATTGATGAAAGATAAAAAAATTGAAAAGTTAAAAATGAAAAATAAATTTAATGATACTCAAACATATGAAAAAGTACAAATAGATAATGGATATAAAATATGATTCAATGTTGAATTGTTTTGAGAAGTAAAATTTAAGTACAAATTACTTTATAAAATATTGATACTTTAATATTTTTAATAATTATTCTAAAATATAAATATTTTTACTAATTAAATTAAGAATTGTAACTAATTTACAAATTTTTCCAAACTAAAATAGTGAAATTATAAAGCTTACATACGAGACATGAAGCAAGTCTTTTCACATTTCTATTCCAATATCCTATTAGCCTATTCACCTACTAGTAGTACTAATAATTAGCCTATTCACCTTCTCATACTCTCCACATTTCTCAATGCAAGTAAAGTAAAATCCATTTCTTTTTCTCACTATTTCAACTTTCAAAAGTATTCCATAGAAGAAAAAGAAGAAGCTATGACTCTAACAACTAGAGCTAAGAAGATTAAATTAGAAGATGAAGAAATAATTAGTAGAATAAATGATTTGTCACGAAGGCTAAAAAATCTTGAAGCTTTTAATGAGATCAATGGCTTTATTAATCAGCCTGATTCACTTAGTCGTAGTGTTCGATTACAATACTCTCTTATTAGTACCATTGTTGATGGTATTTGTAAAAAAAAAATTACACTTTTTATGCCGTTGATTTTGCTACAATTTAATTTTTTTGGTTTCTGGGGTTTTCTTGAAATGCAGAGACAAGATGTGAACTTGGAGCTGCAGGATCAAAGAAGTTCAACATTGTGTTGAATAGTGTTCATGACTTATATCTCAATGGTATATTTTATTAGCTTTCTTATATATGTGACTTTGTTGTAACCGGTAAAGTTGTTACGTGAGTCATGAGTTTGAGCTGTGGAAGGACCTTTGTGGTTCAATTCTTCTCTTGGTCTGGGAGCTTAGTGTTGACCTTTTATATATGCATGCATGTGTGTATATTCATGTACTTTTTAGGTCCTAATTTATGTGATGCACGTTCAAAGCGAAAGAAGTTCCGGTCACAGCTTCTCAAACAAAATGAATTAGGGAAAAAAGAGCATTCGTAGCATCCATTCCTTTTCCTTGATTCGGACATGAAGTTTAAGAAAGAAAGGATTTTTTCTTGGAACTTTTGGTTTTGATATAGATATCATCTGTGTGAAAAGTGTTTTTTCCTTATATGTATATGTAAAGAACAATTTGGATATATGAAATAGGCGATCTCGTCTCATTTTCATTATCCTACTCTTGATGTTGTTTCAAAATCGGGTACGATTTCTGTTCTTCGATAAGTTACAATTTTTGTTTTTTTGGGTGCTCTCCAAGGTGAGCTCCACTTCATACTAAAAATGTGATTTCATATTAATGTCAATCGCTCGTGAAATTTGCTGCAACAATTGTTATGTATTTTCCCCTGCTTTTCTCGCACGGTATAATGTATGTATGGTTTTTCAGTTAAGAGGCCAAGAGAGCAAGTGGCGGATGCAGAGGCCTTGCTCGGACTTACCAATACTGTTGTGGAATCTCTCAAATCACGTGCCAATTCTAGTATCTCACCTTCTATATTCATCTCTTGGTTGCTTCAAGTCTATAGTTTACGAAAAGGACTTTCAAAGAATGCAATGGAACATTTCATCACTGGGAAGTCACTAAAAGCTGTGAATTGGGAAAAGATTGGAGCTGATGCTTCACTCGTGTTTATGGAAGGCCAAGGTTGCAAGACAATGTAAGATTTTCATTTCTTTATTTAAAGAGAACAAAGAAAAATATTGTAATATCTGTTGAGTGCTTTCGACTCGTTGTCAGGCTTGGAGTTGTGAAAACTGAATTTAAGCCAAGGAGGCAGCTTCTAGTTAATCATTCTTATCCAAAAGAGATTGTGGTTCAGGAAAATGCCTCCGAGAAAGGTCTACCTTACTTGGCCAAAATTGGTAAGGACTCGTAATTTTCTTCGGAGATTACAGCTTCCATATGCATTTAGGTAAATGATCTTCTATTTGCAGAGTTTTTTTAATAGGTTGCTGGTGAAATTGTCGAGGAAAAACCTGATGCTAGCAAGAATATGTCAAACATATCGGAGCTCTTAAAGGAGAATGAAAGTGTCATGCTTGACGAACTCTTTTTAAGGAGAAATTCCTTTGCTCATACTGTCGAGAATTTGTTTGCACTTTCTTTTTTTAGTACACGATGGGCAGGCTTCAATCTCCGCTGATGAAACTGGTTCTCGTTTCGCTTGCAAGATGGGTAAATCCACTCTGCCATTCTGGATGAGATATTCTACTATGACATTGTCTCACGAGTTATTTCACCTATATGATCATTGAATTTAATTCTGTCTGTTCAGTTGTACCTTAACGCTGATTCCTCTCGAATTGTAATATGATGAATCAATTCTCCAGTTCCGCGGAGCATTACACATCGTGGATCTGTACGCCACCAGTTTATCCTGAGATATGATTACAATGATTGGAAGGTATCGTAACGTTAACATAGTGTTAAGTATATGAATTTGGAATATTCATTAGTAGCGTTTTTTGCTGTAATCTCCTTCCTTCACTTGGATGTTGTATGTTGACCATGTTAAACTGTCCGCAGCTGATGCAAACTTTAGTGCCAGAAGGAGAAGAGCTAACACCAAATAGGGAATGAAGGCTCATTCTGATATGCTTCACCTCTAACTATATGGAGTAGATGTCAGGAGCTGTCATTTTGTGCAATATCTGGCTGTGAGGTGAAGCGATCTGCATATGAAGTAAGTAAAATGGCATGTTTTTGTTATATTATCAGCTCCAGAAACTGGTCAATATATCTTTTGGGTCAATAGTATGTTTACATGTATATGTATTAAACTGATCCATCTCTCTTTTGGGAAAATGCCCTGTTTATATGTAATCATTTTAAGCTGATATATTACTATCCTGTAAGGCATATGATATGCCTTTCATGACTGAATTCTCCTACAAAAGCACTCGTTAGCCTTGAGAAATTAACGCACTCAAAGGTTAAGCCTAGCGGTCAATGATGTGGGTTCAAACTCTATTAATTAAGTTATATTCTGCTTCGAGAATTGAGCTATACTCTACGATGTGACAAAACAAAACAAACATTTTTTTACTCCAATCGTACATATCCATTTCTTGATCATATTGTATATTTCTCGATAAGCAAAATTCTACGTAATTGGAACAATTGCTAAGGTAGCTCCAGCGTCAATAGTGGTGGCAAATGGGCGGGTTGGATAAAATTTGGCGGGTTGAAAATGGGCTGAGGAAAAATGGGTAACAATACAACCCGCCCATTTTAATATGGGTAAAATATGGGTCGGGTAAAATACTAGTTATACCCATTTAAGAAGCATTGATTTTCCTTTACTTCTGTATTGATTCCCCTTAACTTCTCTCATCTCCAAGGAAATGAGCTGAACAGTTTCATAACTATGTTTCAACTCCATAGATATTGCATCTAATCTGCATACTTTAGTTGATTAAAATGGTCCCTAAAGTTAAGAAAATCACTTAGCAAAGTACAAGTATAAAGTAAAATACAAAAGAAAAATGTATAGACAGCAACTTACACAAACTACTACAATTGCACCAATTTCTTTATTTTCAACACACTAGCATAAATACACAAAAACACCTCATACACAGAAAACTTTGATAGCTCCAAATTACTAATAAACAACAATCTCCATTGGACTTCATTGAAATGTAACCAAAAAAGTATTTACAACAAACACTCTCTAAAAAATTCATTTACTGCATAAAAACACATGTTTGAATATAATAAGCGGAAAAACATAAGTCAAATGTTATTATAGTCGGATCTTGCAGCTTCTTTCTTCATCTCCGCAGTGTTTCCACTTCCTCAACACTGCATTTGGACTTTCTGCACAAGGTAAAACAAATTTTAAAAGTAAATACATTGATACGAAAGCAGCTGAGTTTGTCACTTCAGCTTCTGAAAACCATTCTGAAAATTCATCAGAAGAGAAGGTTCAGTATCCAACAACAATGGAAAGGTTGGTGTTAGCAGGTGAGTTCGGTACTGATCATTTTGGTATGCAGAAAGATATAGGTAATAGAACTAGTCCAGGACATAATCGAACAGGATTCCAGCTTGAATGCCTTCTATACTAGTATTAGTAAGAACAACCTTACACAAATAGAGCTAAAGAGAAGAGAAAACCAACTAGAGTTGCAACATTTGAGTAAAAAAACTTAGTTTATAGGGGAATTATAGTGTTGAAACTGTCAAACTACATCCATCAGACTATGAGCCTGTTTGGCTCAGCTTAAAAGCTGGTCAAACTGACTTAAAAACTGGTTTTTGACTTATTTAGCGGTTTGGCAATACTCAAATTAACTTATTTTAAGTTAAAAAAAATTATTTTAAGCCAAAAGTTAAAAGCTGGGGTAGGGCTGCTTTTTTTTTTCCAGCTTATAAGT